TGCTACCTAACCAATTAAAATATATGGATAAAAGCTAATTCTCAAAAATAAGATAAGATGTTGTCAATGATAACCAATAATTACCATTGTAAGATGAAAATGTGACTTATAAAAAATATATCGGTTCTTACTGGATTTGATTTAATTCACTGTTAATTAATTTAGATGAAAAGCTTGTTCTTGCATTAAACATCATCCGCCCTTTACAACTATCTAAATCCAAACAAAACCCTCATTCATCAATTAGTAAACATCAATACAAATTGGCGAGCTTCCTAACACCAAAACATGAGACAGAAAATTGAAACATTTAGGTTTGCGGTATAGGTTTATTAAACATAAGATACATAATGCATTATTATTTGGATGACTTAGATTACATTATTATTATATTGATGATTTGTTGTACTATTAGCTTAATGGTTTTGACATCTTAAAAAAATAATATTATTATATTCAATCTATTTTTAGGAAAAATAAGATTTTCTTTTATAATATAGTATAGATATAGTCGCCCCAAGTTTAATTAAGTAGCATTGTGCCATTGTATCATATTCCTTTAAAAATATGAAAATAGCATAGTACTTGTACTATTTTTTTATTATATATTTTAAATTCTCTAATATTTATAGTTTTAAAACCTGGTTTATATTTTATTTTAGTTTAATCCAATTTTTTTCATAATTTTTTATTATTAGAAAATAAAAAACATTAAAATTGTAAAATAAGTCAAAAGAGGTTATGTTAACTTGCCAAGGCTTTTCATATTTTTTTAATAACCATGTAAAAGAATAAATATATTAAACATGGTCAAGATATTGTTAATAAAATATATTTGAATGATAATGCAAATTAATGTAGTACTTTATAAAACAAAATCAAAAGAGGAGAAACATGATTCAACCAAATACAATAACTATAATTATTATGTTGATCATTAATTTAGGCAGTTTACAAGCATTGCTTAACTGAGGAAGTCTATTGGTTTCCTATTCGACGTTTGTCTTTTGACCTGCACAAAAATTAAAAACCAACCATAACCTCACATTTTAAGGCTCATATTCAATCACCGAATAGCTGCTCCACAAGCTTTCCATCTAGTTTATCTTGTGGTTTTTAAAGATCAGCAAATCTATAGGAAAATAACTTGTCCGCAAAAGTTGACAAATATACCCCTGAAGTAACTAAAATGTTGCCAAAGCCTCAAGAGTTAAACTTTTCAAGTTGCAATCAAATAAATTAGTACATAATTCATATTTTAATGCGAGTTTACTTGGAAAGTTTGGTAAGTAAAAATATTCAAAAAAGAAAAAATCGGTAAACTTATGTTATTTTCGTCTATGTAAGCCAATAAAAAGTTTGGTAAGTAAAACTTATGTTATCTGGAAGGTTACCAATAAATTTGCCCTGATCAAGAAAAAACATGAAGTTTATCTATGATCTAGAAAAAAAAAACACAACATAGTTACAATACCTTAAGTTACAGGTGAGGGAATTAGGTAGTTACACCTCGTTCTTTCTCGAAACTCTTTTACTCGGTCTTTAGAAAATCATTTCTTTATAAAAATCTTTTAATCCCTCGATTTGAGTCCAGACATCCCCCGAAGGTGTGTCCGAATCCCTCAAACCAGGGCTCTGATACCAATTTGTAACATCCCAAAATACGAGCCAAAAAAAAAAAAAAATTCATTTTTGAAACATATACTTAGCAAAACATTAGAAATAAAACATTCACTGATCATATCATTTCATAAAAAATGTCGCGTGTCCGGAAACCATTTTATAAAAACATAATAATGTCAGAGTACAAATCCCAGAATAACTCATGATGCGGAAATCAATGTGTGTGTATGATGTGCCGCTACCGCGCCAGCTCCTTCCCCTTCGACGAAGAGGTACCTGAAAACAAAACTATAAACTGTAAGCACAAAGCTTAGTGAGTTCCCCCATCATACCACATACCATACAGTTACATAACATACATATATTGTCCGACATATCTGGGTGCCCGACCTACCCCTTCGGTCCTCCCGACCGGATACTGTCTAGCATATCTGGGAGCTGGCCTCCCCTTCGGTCCTCTCGACCAGGTACTGACTAGCATATCTGGGTGCTGGTCTCCCCTTCGGTCCTCTCGACCGGGTACTGGGGACTATTTCACCCCCTTACTACTACCACATAACACATTTATCACATAATCTATCTAGCATGGCTGGGCACGACCGCCCCTTCGACCCTATCGGCCGGTAATCTGGGGACTATCTCCCCCTACTGTCACTAGTACATAGCATCATATCATTTTAGCACATAAACATATCACAGGTAGTAACAACCCTAGATGAATATCACAGAGACAATCATCTATCATGTAACTCCTATTGGTGGGCCGGCATTGTGGCCGTAGACCCACCGCTACTGGAAGGTAACTCACCTCAAAGTGGCTGCTGATCTGCGTGGGAACTGACTGACTTCTGCTGCTGCTGCTCCGGAAATCCTCAGGCTATAATTCCCACAAAAAGACTCAGTCAAATACTGCTAACCGACCTCAGGGTAAAATGACCATTTACCCCTAACTAAACCAAGAGTCAAAATCAAAGTCAACTTCCAGTTGACCCGACTCGCCGAGTTGGCTTGCCAACTCGCCGAGTCCCTATCCACTCGATTGACCATAATCTCGTCTCTACTCGTCGAGTTAGGCATTGACTCGACGAGTTTCCTTCTAAACCGATGACCACTAGTCCTTCATCCTACTCGCCGAGTTGTATGAACAACTCGTCGAGTTCATCTTCAACCGAAGAACATTCTATGCTGAGACTCGCCGAGTCGTATGAACAACTCGCCGAGTCGTATGAACAACTCGCCGAGTCTGTTCTTGAGGCTCGCCGAGTCAGGGCATTGACTCGCCGAGTTCCTCCATGAGTGAGTCTGGCTTCCGACTCACTGAGTCACCCCCCCCATGACTCACGACTCCACTCAGCAACACGAAAAGGGGAAAACTCGAGGACTCACGACTCGACTCGCATAGTCCGATGAACGACTCGCCGAGTTGGCCACATGCCACTATTATATACTCGATTTTGCTTGGATCCAGCTCATTCCATACGTAGATCTAGGTTCCTAGGGCTTGATTAACACGTAAAGTTTCCAACTTTACGTGTAAATAAACACCAATGAAGGTTTTAGGGCTCAAAATGCACTAAAAGAGTAGATCTAGGGCTTTCATGCAATATGGCTTCATAAAGGCAGTGGATCCGAGCTCCTGGAGCTCAATCATGCCTAGATCTAAAGGTTAATCAGCTTATCACAGACCCTAGTTCATACCCAAGCTTGGAAATGGCTCAAGAAGGACTTTAATGGAGCTCTAAGGGACTATAAGCATGAAAACAGAGGGAAACTGAGTTATACCTCAAGGAAATCTCTGAAATAACACCAAGATGCCTGGCCTCCTTCCTCTCCTCTTGATCTACTCTCCTTTCTCTCTCAAAGTCTTCAAGAAATCACACCAAGCACTTCAATTTCACAAGGAACGATGTTAGAACGATATAGGGGGCTCTGAGGGTGAATGGGGGCGAGCTTGGGGCGCATAAGGTTGGTTTAAATAGGGTGTAAACCCTTGGAATTAGGGTTTCACCAGACAGCGGGGACTCGCCGAGTCCAGAATATGGACTCGCCGAGTCGCCAACTTAAACGTGTTCCATGTCCCGGCTCTACTCGGCGAGTCGGGCCTACAACTCGCCGAGTCCAAGGCTAAAAATGCAAAATACTTAGATAAATTTACATACCAGGAACCAGGTGCTACAAGTTTAGTACCTAAGTTTAGGTAGGGCTGTAATGTATATTCCCTATATATATATATATATATAATATATATATATATATATATATATATATAGATATATATATATATATATATATATATATAACCTTAATTTTGTGTGGGTGGGCCCAAACCCACTCTTGCCCTATATTGGCTACGCCCCTGATCATTATCCCTTCATCTTCACCCTCCTTTCTAAACTTTTGGATGCTGCTAGTCAGTGTTGCAGAAATCGGCCTTGACGGCCGATTAATCGCTTGGCGGCCTCGAACCGATTACGATTAGGGTGTTTGGCGGAAATTGGTCAAAATCGGTCAAACTCGGGCTTGACGGTCCTCGGCGGTCATAGGCGGGAAATATTTAAAAAATTCAAAAAAAAAATAATTTTCAAATATTACACCAAAATTTTAAAATTTTAAGCTTTCAAATTTTAAAATATTATACTAAAATTTTTAAAATTTCAAAATTTTAAAATTTAAAATTTCCAAATACTTAATTTTTTAGGAAATATTAATTTTTTAAATAATTTTATTAATAATTTAGGGTCTCCGATTAATCCCCGCCGAGTCTGATTAATCACTAATCGCCAGTCGACCGCCGAGCTACCGCCGAACGATTTTTACAACCTTGCTGTTAGTCATTAAACTACTCGACAATCGTACTTCAAGTCTTCAAGTTGAATCGCTTCTTCACCCTTATTTCTAAGACTTCGATATTTTTGACAATTCATAATAAACTTGATTGCTAAATGGTCCAACTTGTTATTATGTTATATATTTGCTTAGATCGGTAAAAAATAGATGTTGAACCTATTCCGAATAAAAAATAAAATATGTTACATATTTAAATAAAAATGATAAAGTTTGTTGCAATTTAACACATTTCCACATAAAACACGGTTTGAGTTTAAAATATACACAAATACGCTTTTAATTATTATTGTGTTGTTTTATGAATATACCAAATTCATTTTGTTAATCAAGTTTCTCTGTAAAATGATCCATCTTATTGCAATTCGTACCAAAAAACTATGAAGTTATTTTACGAAAGAATGCATGCGATCGATTAAAATGCATGATTAAAGATGCTGGTCATTGAAGTATAGAAACAGAACGTGAGGGACCATTTATGTAAAATTCAATTTTTCGAAAAGTACACGATAACCCCCTTCAACAAACATTGCCGGAGTATATAAGGTACCTGATATATGTTGACATACATGTAAAAGATCGCATCTACTGGTGTCCACTGTATCAGATGTCTAAGATGTGGAAGAAAATGTCGGTGGTATGGTGGTTGCTGGTGGCGGTACTAGTGGCTTTTAGCATTGAAGAAGTTCAATCGGATACCTCAGATCACAAATACAAATCTGGTGATGAAGTCCCAATTTACGCCAACAAAGTCGGTCCTTTCCATAACCCTAGGTAGGCATTATCCTCTATATGTAGATTGGATCTCTGTCTTATGCGTTTTCTTCTTCACATTATGTTTCTTGCTACTACTTGCACTGACTTATTGGATCTATTTTGATAATTAGGGTTTCCGTGTTTGTAATTTGCTGGATCTCAGTTTCAGTTACGATAATCAGGGTTTTATTTGCTTAGTTCCAAGTTTTATCGGATGAACTTTAGATTGGTCGATGATCGTTCAGCTAATTCGTGTTTGCATTGTAAGAAAATGCACAAAGTTATGAGCAGCTTATAATGCACAAATTAAGGGGATGAAAAAGAGTTGGGTAGTTAATTCGTTAGCCAAACTGAAATGAGAGATAGGACTGCACTATTCGTAAGGGAAATTTCAGAAATCTGTATGCAGAAAACTAGAAATGGTCCTTGATGAACTTTCTCATGTTATTGAGTGTCTACAAGGTAAAATTGACATGACATACAGAAGGAATAGGCCCTAGAACTCTTAGTTAGAGAATGTGTAGGTTTAGGATTACTAATTTGTGTGTATTCTATGAAATGCATTTGATTTCTTCAAATTTGAAGAACCTTCAACTTATTCAGCATATTCAGTTTATATGCATGCTTCTTAAAACCTCATTTCATCACTTTATCTTCTTCTACAGTGAAACATACCGCTTTTTTGATCTACCCTTCTGTTTACCAGGTGTGTGTGCTTGTTTCTTATTGTATCATTCTTTTGTTATTTGTTTCTTTGACCTACTGTTCTTGCCATTATACATCACTGATGCAAATGTTGATTGCAGCTCATTTAAAAGGAGAAACCTGAAGCTCTTGGTGAAGTACTAAATGGAGACCGTTTAGTCAGTGCTCCTTATAAACTTGACTTCATGGTTGAAAAAGACTCTGCAATTGTTTGCAGGAAAAAACTTACAAAACAGGAAGTAGCTAAATTCCGAAGTGCTGTCACCAAGGACTATTATTTCCAAATGTACTATGATGACTTGCCTTTTTGGGGCTTTCTAGGGAAAGTTGAAAAAGACAAAAATGACCCTAGCGAGGAAAGATATTACCTTTTTAAACATCTTCACTTCGAGATCCTCTACAATAAAGATCGTGTCATAGAGATAAACGCGAAAGCTGATCCTAATGCTGTGGTGGATCTCACTGAAGACAAAGAAGTTGAGGTGGAGTTTATGTATACAGTCAGATGGAAAGAAACAAATATTCCTTTTGAGAATAGAATGGAGAAATACTCTCAATCTTCTTCACAACCACATCATTTGGAGATTCACTGGTTTTCAATTATCAACTCATGTGTCACTGTTCTTCTCTTAACCGGTTTTCTTGCCACCATTCTTATGCGTGTCCTCAAGAACGACTTTGTTAAGTAAGGACTAAGGAATAATATCATCCATTTATTTTACATACATTCCTTTTTTACCCCTTGTTAATTATATTATTTACACACAGGTATGCTCATGATGAGGAGGCAGCTGATGATCAAGAGGAGACTGGATGGAAGTACATTCATGGTGATGTGTTTAGGTATCCAAAGTACAAGTCTTTGTTTGCTGCTGCCCTTGGTTCTGGGACCCAACTATTTGCTCTGTAAGTAAACTAATTATTCCACATTTTTAGTACAATATTCAATTCTCAATATTGATAACTTTTTTTTTTTTTTTTTAATCAGAGCACTTTTTATCTTCATACTCGCACTTGTGGGTGTATTTTATCCATATAATCGAGGAGCTCTATTCACTGCATTGGTTGTTATATATGCTCTTACTTCTGGGATTGCAGGATACACTGCATCCTCTTTCTATCACCAGCTAGAAGGAAGCAACTGGGTATGATACGAATTTACCAATATACCCTTTTCTTCATTTTATTTAAAATCTAACATCTCGCATCAACAGGTGAGAAACCTACTGCTAACTGGATGCCTCTTTTGTGGGCCCCCTCTTTCTAACCTTCTGCTTCCTAAACACGGTTGCAATCGCATACACAGCCACAGCTGCACTACCCTTTGGGACAATTGTAGTGATTGTTTTAATATGGAGTTTGGTGACATCACCTTTACTTGTTCTCGGGGGTATTGCTGGAAAAAACAGCAAAGCTGAATTCCAAGCTCCTGTTCGCACCACAAAGTATCCCAGAGAGATTCCACCTCTCCCATGGTACAGAAAAACCATCCCTCAAATGGCCATGGCTGGCTTTCTCCCTTTCAGTGCAATCTACATTGAGCTTTACTACATCTTCGCCAGTGTGTGGGGCCACAGAATTTACACCATTTACAGCATCTTATTTATTGTTTTCATCATTCTCTTGATTGTCACTGCCTTCATCACTGTTGCTTTGACTTATTTCCAACTTGCTGCTGAGGACCATGAATGGTGGTGGAGGTATGTCTAGTTTTTACCTTTTGAATCCGTACCTTTTCAATATAATTTCTTTTTGAATTATTTTATTTTTTTCAGGTCTTTCCTATGTGGAGGGTCAACGGGTGTGTTCATCTACGGGTATTGCTTGTATTACTACTATGAGAGATCTGACATGTCTGGATTCATGCAGACATCCTTCTTCTTCGGTTACATGGCTTGCATTTGTTACGGCTTCTTTCTCATGCTCGGCATGATCGGTTTCCGTGCCGCCTTGTTCTTTGTCCGCCACATCTACCGCTCAATCAAGTGTGAATAGAAAAGGTAACAAAAAGGTTGTTCAAGTTGTCCCCATTCCAATTATGTTCATTAGGTTAATAAGATAAATTGATGTTTGTTTTCTTAGTTTTAATGTTTTTTTTTTTTGGGTTGAAGATAGGAAGCTAGTATGAAAACTATACCGACTAAATTTTTGAGATATATATATTATATAGACCTTTTTCCGTTTGAAGATGTAAAAGATCGTTCCTGTATGTTTGTCCTAACAGTAAAAATGTGAGATTCTGTAAGTGAGGTGTTACCTTGACTATGAAATCAATAGCGGGATAACGAAAAAATCAAAAGAACTTGGCCAAAGAGAAGTGGGCCATGGATTGCTAATCAACATACTATTTTTTATCATACAATCAGAAATGAAGGACTATTTTTTATTTTTTATTTTATTTTTTTGTTTTTTCATTCAACCCTTTAATGAAGATTTTTAACTTTCCATTGATTCAACCTTCTTATCATCAACTTGCAACGTATTCGACTCCTACCGCAACAATCTCTTGCCTTTATTCAAATTTAATTAAACATCCCTTAATGTCTCCTCCCTTTATTAAACAGTGTCTTGTATTTTTCTCTTTCCTTTTGCATGTCGGAGGTCTTATTTGGAAACAATTTTTGATTGCCGACGTTATCCATTATCCCATTCTTATGAGACTTAAGGTTTTGTTATTGTTATTTTTATGCTTATTTCTTATTCATAGAACACAATAACTAAATAAGTATACCTTCTACTGGGATAGGGCATAATCCTGGGAGGATGGGTCATACCCTCAAAGTGTCTTCGACACTGAGATTCAAGAATCCTACCCTAAAAACTTGGCCTTCCTTTCTATCGCCGCCATAACTTTCACAACTTTCACATTCCGACTCCTACAATTTATTAAATAACACGACTATTATTATATTAAAACCTGAGAAAATAAATAAATACATCAAACAAAATATCCAAAAGAAGAAAGATAAGTTACACATATCATCATATATGTGTCGATATTACACTCCTTAGGGAGGAGGGAGTCATTCCCTCCCAACCTACTGAACCCACTGCCATATCACTTTTTCTTTTTTATTTTTCTTCATTTTTCCGAACCCACAATACATGGAAATCCTATCTTTTTGAACCCACTCAACCCACTCAATTAAAAAAAAAAATACAAAACAATCAAATGTAAAATCTTAATTAGCAATAGAGTTATCGGCGGTACCACTCCCGCTTCAACGAGTGGGTTGATTGGTTTCACTAACCCACTTCATCATCTCTCTCTGCTTTCTCTTTCTTATTTTTCTCTTGTACCATGTGTTTTAAAACTTGTACCTTAGTTGTTTTGTATTTTTTTTAATTGAGTGGGTTGAGTGGGTTCAAAAAGATATGATTTCCGTGTGTTGTGGGTTCGGAAAGATGAAGAAAAATAAAAGAGAAAAATTGATGTGACAGTGGATTCGGTGGGTTGGGAGGGAACGACTCCCTCCTCCCTTAGACCGGCTCCCAATCGACTCTCCACTCACTAGCTCCCAATCAACCCTAAGGCTAACCGGAGTGCTCAATGCGTAGGAGCTAGCCACATCAGCCAATCACCCTTTTATATGACACTCATCGAGGTTGGGAAATGATGTTCACTACATACTCACCGGGAGGGAGAGAGATAGAGGGGGAAGAAGAGTGATATAAAGAGAGGGAGTTTCTCTCTCCTTTGTGACTGTAAATGGCCCAACTCAAGCCAAGTCACTCTACTTTCATCTCACTAGGTATAGGAAATGGTGCTCCACCGGTGACGTGGTTGGCACATCATCTCACAGGAGCAACTCACGGACCACTCCGTATAGCCTAATCGATTCTCAACCTTCTTCCTTTGAACTCTTTTTGATGTGGGTATCTATATCAACTTTTGTCCATGTGGGCTTATGCCCCATTGCCTTAGCCTACGATTTATAAAAATGATTAGCTTACCAACTTCATACGATGTTGTTGGGTTGTGATTTCTCATTCCACTCCCGAACCTCTACCCCAAGCCCTAGTTTCCAATACATATTCATACGACTTGTGTAACCACTTGAACTTGAGACCCCTAAACTTGTTAGAATACCCTAAACAAGGATTGTGAGTAGCATTCTAAACGGCTCTCACGTGTATGAGAGGGTTATAACCCACATGTGATCTTAGTGTGATGGCCTATAGTACCTTGTTTGTTTCTCAGATATATGCTGAAGGTGTATAGTTGTGCTATGTGCATTGCATACTTCCTTTTGTCTAAACATTTATATTATGATGTTGTAGATTGTTGCAAATTTGAAATATCTTTCTCAAAAGGGTTGGTCATAAGGACCTTGATTGTATTTTTGAAGCTATTTTGGGGGTTTGACTTTGGGAATTAGAGGAGCACAACCCTCCATTGTATTCACACTTATGTTTTGCTATTGGTTGTTTCTTTTTTGGTGTTCAAAACATTGTTGAACTTTTAATATTTAGACCAACTTATTTATGCAAACTATTAACTATTTCAGAAGATTGGAAATTTTAATTGAATTTACTAAACTATTTTAAAACCACCCATGAGAGGGATGTTTCAAGATATCTGACCATTGAACTAAAAATTGAATCCCATTAAGTTGAAGATATATAGTTCCTTGAAGACAACAGACTAAGATAACAGACTAAAGGAATTCGACTAAAGATCAATTAAGGATAAAAACTGCTCTCAGCAACCATGTATCTAGCCGAAGAGCATACATACCCAAAATTAATATGAGAATTTGCTAAAGCTTAGATGAATTCTAGAAGACCTAATCATTTTAGCTTAAGCAAGTTAAAAGAAGAAAGGGCACGTCTAAAGGAGTGTTGGTGAGTTGTTTCTCACCTCTTGCCCCGGTGATTCCTTATCATAGAAGTGTCGGATCTAACAAATCTAACTATAAACATAAGGATAATGTTATTTTGCTAAGGATAAACGTCACGTATTATGTCTAAAATGGTTTAGACTTTACATTCAAGTAAAACCATTTTATAGATCTTGCATAGTACTTGAAGATCGGTATTATTGGTATAAATCTGCTAAACATATTAGATAGTGATAACATAGATATTGATAACGTATTCTTGTTGTTATCTTTTCTTATTGTTTAGGATGTTTGTTTTTGCTTCCTTGTTTAAACTCTTGTTTTATTGCTTTTTGATTAAGCAATCAATAAAATCGAATTACTTCCCTGATACAATCGGAATTCTAGATGGTATCAGAACATGTTTTAGAACTTTGATTCAAGACCTTCCTTTGTTGAACTTGAAGAATGACAGGAAGCGTTGAACCGAAATACAAAGGCGATGCAAGGGAAGGTTCCAACACAATAGTCGATCACAGTCCCCCTACTATCTCCTTCCTTTCGATTTCCCTAAACAAACTCCATGTTAACAAAGTTCTCACATACACCAATTATGTCGATTGGTCACAAGAGATGGAAAACTTTCTCTTCGCCAAGAACAAATTTGAGTTCATGGACGGGACCATCAAGAAACCTGGGAAGGGATCTTCGAACTACATGCCATGGATGCGATGTGTAACGCCTGTAGATTCGGGCTAGTCAATTAAATATAATAAGCTATAAAAATGATTTTTCGATAGAAGGTTATTTAGGATAAATAACCTTAACCAAAGTTATAGTGTATGTGACAATATGAAGAATATATGCTTCTTCGAAGTTTCGCGATTAAACCGACACGACTTTACGTATCGTAAAAAGTGAATTTTCAATAGATTACTTTTTAGCCTAAGTGATCTAAACAAAAGTCATAGTAGTCGTTAAACCGAGAGCGTGCATATATAGAACGTCCGAATCTAACTTCGTAAGAGGAAGTTATGATTTTTTGAAGTTTCAGCGCAACAGTATACGACTCAGAAACCGAAGTAGAGATCAGTTGATTGTTAGGATAAACAATCTAAACGAGAGTTGAAGATCTCGCCCATATGGTTCCGTCGTTATAAAGAAAGTCGAGAACGGATATCATATGTGAAAATTATGATTTTTTAACGGGCTTTAACAGTCTAAGCCTATTAAAAATATAGCTTTTCAAAATAAAGTCAAAATTAGCGGACGAAGTCTAAATGGAATTGTAGATCTCGTCGAGAGTTTTTCGGGGATATAAAGAACTTCGAAAACGGAGCTCGTATGAAGAAGTTACACCATTTTTAAAAATCTGGAAAATCGCACGCGCAAAGTGCGCGGCGCGCGCCAATGATGTGGCACCATGAGAGGGCGCCACGTAGTATGGTCGGGAGCCGCTTCCTCCGAGAGACACGTCGACATGGCCCCAAAATAACCTTTAAGCCATTTTTCTCTCGTTTTTGACCTGCGGCGAAGCCCTGCGACACCCGTGAGTACTCATGTGAGTAATGGCCTTCGAGTAGGAAATCCCGAGTCAACATTGTGCCCGCTTAGATTCCAGTTTTCATCAAGAACCTCTGTAATTTAAGCTAGACTTAGTTCATGATAAGTGTAACTTTTAATTATAGTCATAGTCGTTATTATGAATCTATAATTAAGGTTTATCAGTAATTCCAAGTTATTATACTGAGTGATCTACTTATGGGAGTGATGTCTATGCTGAATTTAGTGAGGTGTTTAAAGTGGAATTTCCAAACAGTATAACTTTGTATACCAAACAGACCATACCTTCGATATGATCCTACCTGTTTATTCCTTATTTAGATCTTGAAGTAGACTATGGGATTGTTGAGGAATCTAAACCCTTAGGATAATAGTTCCATGAAGTATGAAATTAGACTAAGACTTAGCGGTATGTACATCTAGCCATCTAGGTATTTTGGAAAAAATATGTAAGGCGAAGCTCTGTCCAATTCACCAATCACCAGACACTTTGTCAGGTGAGTGCATAATCTCTTTCATGAATATGATTTAATATAAGTATTAATTAAAATATTAAATATTTGCTGAAAGTCGTATGTGAATTATGTGCTTATTTCCTAGATTATATGTTAGGATATATATACATAACGTGCTATGTGCGAACCAGATATGGTTCAATTTTCTGTTAGGATAATTGGATAGTATTATATAAAGATATTAAAACTAGAATTGTTGAGAAGATAAATGATTAATAATACCTAATACTCTTATGGTATAGATATACACTAAGATAGGTTAGTGTCACCCACGAATAGAGTTGGTATTAAAAGTTGGTTACATGCACTAAGCTACTGTAAATTGGTTGGATGTTGAGT